AAGCTGGAAATACTGAAGAGAATTTGCTAACGGAGGCCAGACTGGCTTCTTCCAGGAACGGAGGTCGGTGTCGTCTTTTCCGGGAAACACTCTTTTGCTACAGACAGGCTTCTCACAATGTCTTCCCTTGCAGAGCTGCCAAGTCTCCAAAGACAAAGAACAGGGCAGGCTCCTAAGAATGGAGGCCTAGGTAGGGTCTTCTAGAAACCTAAGAGCTGTGTTTTTAAAACTCAAAAGACATCAATTAACTTTAAGAGCACAGTGTGTTGAGCCCAAGCATTCCAATGCGGAATCTCTAATGATTTATCGTATGTTGGGGTGGGGAGTGGAGCACTTTTGACCTGTCTCTGTAATTCAGTGTGTATCAGACTTGTCATATTTCAAGTTATCATTGCGGCTAGCCGCCTGATGACAAGTACCATGAGACAATGTCTCATCCCAACAGAAGGATCCCCAGTCATCATTTGCATAGTCAAAAGCCATTCAGATTTTTTTTTATGGAAAAAAATGAGTTAAGACAGAAAGGTTTTTTTTGTTTTTTGTTTTGAGGCTAAACAAGTGCCATTTAAAATATAATCTCAAACCGGGCGTTGGTGGCGCACGCCTTTAATCCCAGCACTCGGGAGGCAGAGGCAGGCGGATCTCTGTGAGTTCGAGGCCAGCCTGGTCTACAGAGTGAGTTCCAGGACAGCCTCCAAAGCCACAGAGAAATCCTGTCTCGAAAAACCAAAAAAAAAAAAAAAATTAAAATATAATCTCATTTTTAATGAGAAAAAAATTATGCTAAGAGAATAGAGAAATAAGTTAGACAAGGTGGCTCACACTTAATTCCAGCCCTTGGAAGTCTGCATAGGAGGATCAGGGGTTCAAGTTCAGCCTTTCTAGGGCATTTAAGACCAGCCTGGGCTACATGGGACCCTGTTTGTAAAAAAACAAAAACAACAACAAAAATAAGAGCACTGGGAGAGAAATGCGATGCCAAAATCTTTGTTGTGATTCTCTCTGAAGGAGGGAACTGTAGGTGTGGAATTTTCCTTTTTTTTTTTTTTTAACATCCTCTATAATGTTCCCATAACAAACAAACCTGCTTCTACAATAAAAAGAAATCAATAAAATGCAATTTTGAAAAGACTACATTTTAAAGCTGCCAGACTGGGGCTTTATTTACTATGAGCAAATTGTAATGCAATATCAGGCCACAAGCTCCCAAGCCATTTATGTTTCTTGAACATTCTTTGGGAGTTATTCTTAAACCTGGGACCCTATGAGAAAAAAGTCTCCACAAATGATGAAGCCTGGTTCTTTGCATGAAAACAGAACACTCAGGAAGAGCCGGGACCTACAGCAACATGGATAAATGCTGCTTTCCTTCCTTCTTCCTGCTTTTGACCACACACAGGACACGTAGCCTTTGAAGGCCAATGTCCCATTCTTGACCATCTTCACCCATGGGTAAGCCATTGAAACACGAATAGCAAAAACCCAGAGACAGATATTGGAGTTCGAACTGAAGACCAGAGAAGCAAAGCAGCCAACCACTAGAGGGTTCTCATCTTTACCAATGCTCAGACAGAAGGGGTGATCCACTGAACTCAGATGGCATCTCCAGATTGCACTGCTCTCCACCAGCCTCAGAATCCTAGACTGCTTTTTGAGACTGCACTGAGCTCCTTATATTCTCTCCTGTGCTGGGATTAAAGGCGTGCGCTCTGTTTCTCTTTTAGACTGATTCACACTTGTGTAGCCCTGGGTGGCCTTGGACTCACAGAGATCCATCTGCCTCTGTCTCCTGAGTCCTGGGATTAAAGGTGTGTGCACCACTGCTCAGTTTCTATGGATATAGCTAGCTTTGCATTCTGATCCTGCAGGCAAGCTTTATTAAATCATAAATAATCTATCACCCCAGGCTATTCTGGTCTGGGACCTGACCTCTAACCTCACATGGACCTCTTCAAGTGTTAAACATTCACTCTGGGATTTATTTTATCCCCCAGTATTCTGTCCTGTGAGCTAAGGGAATAAGGGGCCCTCCTATTGTCCCCCACAGAATCCTGGACCCAGAGCAATTCCTTTCTCACAGAGAATTGGCCCTCAAGACAGAGATCAGGGTTACGGTGCACGCTGAGCACATCACAAACGACTATGAATACTTGTTGGGATCTGGACCTGATGGAGCACACCTATAATCCCAACACTCAGGGGACCAGCCTGGGCTACATAGTGAGATCACATCTCAAAACAAACAGCTTCCTGGTGAGTCCTGGTATCAGCCCCCACCTCTCTCCCACTAGCCAGCTGGTAAGAATATCTCTCCTACCAATGGTAAAAACAGTTCTTTTCCAGCCTCGTGTTCTCTTTGACCACATTAAGTCAATGCAGGGCTGTGTGGGACAGAGCTTGGCACACACAAAGATGCCCTTGGGTTGGCTGCTTGTGTTATTTGTACACAAGAACCCTCTCTATCAAAAGAGGTGTCGAAAGGGGAGTCTTATGTTTTCCTATGAAGAATGGCACCTGGCCTTCTCCAGTCGTCATCAGAGAGGCTTGGGTGCGGAGACCCGCAGCCAGACAGTATGTGGAGAGAGAGTCTAAATTGGAGGTTGCCGTCGGGTCCTTCCCTTATTGCTCAGGGAACCCTGCAGAAGTGGGGTGGAGATTGGAGTCAGAGGGGTGGACACTAGGAGAACACAGCTCACTGAATCAACTAAGCAGGGCTTACACGGGTTCACAGAGACTGAAGCAGTAAGCACAGGGCCTGCAAGGGGCTGCGCCGAGTCCTCTGCATATGTTATACCTGTTAGCTTGGTGTTTGGTTTTTGTGGGACCCTAACAGCGGGGCGGGCTTTTGTCTGGCTCTTTTGTCTGCTGTTAGGACTCTATTACTCCTATCTGTTGCCTTGGAAGTCTGGGGGAGGGGGTCCTGGGAAGAGTGTAGGGAGGGGAAACTGTGATTAGAACTTTTGTATGAGAGAATCTATTTTCTATTAAAAAAAAAAAGGTTGGCACTTGTGGTTGGTTAATATGAGTTTGAATATTTCTGGACAAAGCAAGGTCAATGACATCCTTGACAGCAGAGTCACACTTGGCACCACCATCAGCCCCTGCCTGGAGCGCAGTTTCTGAGTCAGGGGAGAGGTGTTCTTCCCCCAGGACACCAGAAAAAGAAAGTGAAGCCACACAGGTTTAAGAAACTCATCTCTAGCAAGAAGGAAAGGTAACTCAACATAAGATGGACAGACAGACCACACTCATGCAAGAAAAATAAAACATTATACCTATAACATATATTGACTCAAAAATGGACCAGAAAAGCCAGGTGCAGTGGTATATGCCGGCAGAGGCAGGCAGATCTATGTGAATTGAGGCCAGCCTGGTCTACATAGTGAGTTCCGGGACAGCCAGGGCTATAGAGAGAGACTCACACTAAAACAAACAAACAAAAAACCACAAACAGATAAACAAAACAAGAAGGACCAGTGATATAACTGTACAGTGTAAAGATAAAGAACCACAAAGTCACATAGAATATTTAGGTGACTATGGGTGAGTGTGAGTGAACTAGTTATTGTGATGTTACAAAACACCCAACAGACACAAATTAAGGAAAGAAAGTGTTTATTTTGCCTCCCAGCTTGAAAATGCAGTAAGCTGCAGAAGGAGATGGCTAATCACATTGCTGGGCTGACTTCTTCATTACTGTCCTCACTGCTGTAGCAAAATACCTGAAGCATGCAATGGGAGGCAGGGAGTTTACGTGGGCTCTCGGCTTGAGCCCTTTGCAGGGAGGCAGGGGCATCAAGAGCAGCTCCGGCCGCAGTCACACTGCTCCACACCTTACACTTCGTCTACACTGCACCCACACTTTGTCCACTCTGCACCCACACTTGGTCCGCACGGTATCCATGGGGAGAAAAACCCCTGCAAACCTCTTCCCTGCCACAGAATGGCACTTCCCACATTCAAGACAGGTCTTCCCGCCTGAGTTAAAACCTTTCAGCAAACACTCTAGGTGTGCTTCCAACATGACTCTGGAAGCATTCAAACTGACAGTGAAGATTAACCATTGCAGAGCATTAAACTAACCATGTAGTAATAGTTTCTTGACTACTTTAAAAAAATAAAATTTTATAAACTAATCAAGAGCAGAGGCCGGCTTTCCAATGTCCTCAGCCCCCAGGGGGCTAATGAGGCAGTGTGCTGTGGGTGGGACAGATGGAGGACAAAAAGGTGATTAAAGATCTGCCTCAAGCTCCCTGTTCTCTGATGTGATCCTAAGAGTTGCTTTCTCGCCCTCATTATTATTCTTGCTTAGTACACAAGCAAATTTTGTTGAGGGAGAAAAGAGTGGAAAACAAAGCTTCATTATCCTCATCTGTATAACGTTGGCATTGTAAGAGCCAGCGATTTCTTGGTTCCTTCCGACTCCAAGACTCTCTGTGTACGTGAAAGAAATACAAGTTTTGAGTTGTGGATTTCAAATACCGGGCTAGACCATCTAGAATGACCCTGCGATTCTTCCGTGATGTGGGTTGCAACATTCTGATTGGAAAAGAGGATGAGCTTTTATTTTAAGTTTGCAATTGAAAAACTATGGTAAATAAAATCACACCACAGGCTAGAAGGCCTTTAGTTTCTGGAGTGTTCTCAGCCTTTCAGACAGTGATGACACACTAGAACTAACTTTAATGTTTTCATTAAACACCCACCTCCAGCCCCTCTGGGTCCTCTCTCCTATGTCTCCTGTGTCAGGCTGCATGGCCTGAGTCTCATTTCCCACTGTCCTGATTATGTATCCGATTGTTTGCTATGTGGCAATTGAACACAGGACTTGCTCTTACTAGATGAGAGCTCAACCCTGACACTGCCCATCTCACCCCTGCCACATCTCGTACAGACCTTTATGCCTTCTCTTCGTGCTTCCTGTGTCCTATCTTCCTCTCTCGAGTTTCGTTTTTTTCTGTTTTCTTGTCCCTGTTTTGGCTCCCGCTCTGTGACAATGACCTAGATACAGAGGTTTTGGTTCTCTGCTCACAGTTATTTTAATTGCTAGATAGAATTGAAAGTGTTCTGCACATAGGGTTGTTGCTGAGAAATGTGTGGGAACAGAAGTTGACAACAGCAGGAGATGAAGAACCTTTTCCTGGAGTGGGATTGAAACAGGGTCTTTGTGTGTAGTCCTGGCTGTCCACCTCACCAGGAACCAGGCTGCCCTCAAACGCAGAGATTCACCTTCCTCTGCCTCCTGAGTGCTGGGGTTGAAGGTGTGCCCAGCAGAAGAATCTTAGCACAGCTTCTCACTGTCCTGGAGACCCCTTTCCCAGAAGCCAGAAGAGAAACAGAAGGGGATAGACTTGTTTGCAGCTAGAGGAATGTCAATAAGCCATCCAGGAATCATGTACTGTTTACTCTGGAGAGTCAGCCTCCCGGGTGGGAGGGGGAGGAAGCTGCAAGAGCAGAGACTGGTTTTCCATCAAGCAGAAGTCCTTTGGAATTATCCTTCTGCTCCTCACAACAGCGTAACTTTCGGGGCGTCTCAGAGTAAGCTGACCCGGTAAGAAATGAGTGCCTTTACCTCACTGTGTGGAACTCTAGGACAGAAGGATGTGCGGTATACTGACTGACGCAGCTCGTAGCCAGAGTTTAAGTCCTTCCTCCTTTTATGACAGCCCCCAACGTGTTCCTTGTTCTCATTTGTTGTAAGGTTATTTCAAACCCAGTGCATGTGGACTTGAAACACCTAGTACCCTTGGTTTGTGGGTCTGGCCCCAATCTTTGCCTATTTACTTCTCTCCCACCACCTCCACTCATGGATGGTCTTGACTTCCATGCGGAGGTCCTCGACTTTCTCCCAAACACCCCTAGGTTCCTCCATCCACAAGCTCATACTGCATCATCCTGGACTCTCAGAGCCCTGCTCAGAACCACCCATCAACTCAACAGCCACATAAAACATGGCTCCTCCATTCCATAGCGATGGGTTCAGAACCGGCTTCTCCTCACCTGATTTCATCTGCTTTATCTGACCTTACATAAAGAGTGCTACATACAGTACGTCGGTCACACCAAACTGACAGTTGTGGCTATTCCTGTAGAAGAGACATGTGTTTTTATATTCCTCACATTGTTCCACAACTTCGAATAAATAGTTACATTCGTGAGTACTCACTCTGTGTGCCAGACGGTGGGCTATGCCCTTTATACAAATCCCCTCATGAAATGCATGTTGTCTCTGGGATGCATACAAAGAAGCTAAGGCTCAGGATGGGCTCCTCTGCCAAAGTCAAGTATTCAAATCCAGAGAAAGGCGATTCTGCGCTCAAATTAAATAAAAGAGAATAAATTAATCAAAAAATGAAATAGCTAAAAATCAGGTACTGAGACTACCTGAAACCTCAGGTTTGGGTAAGATTTTTTATCAGTCTTGTAGGCCAGCTAGCAGTCTGAGAAAGCAAGCATTCAAATAGAGCCCAGCTAAGCTGCAGAAAATGCTTACTGCCACTAGGGAGCTCCCTCCACCTTAGGCAACGGGTGATTAGAGGCCCTTGATGCTCTGAACTAGCTGGGTGATTAACTACACTTTCCAGAGGCTCAATGCATTTTGCAAAAATTTCCTGGGACAGTTGGGGAGACCATAGGCAGGGCCCCAAGCTGGAGCAATTTTCTCAGACACATCCCAGGCCCTCTAAGGTTAGAGGGGTTTTGAGGATCACCCTAAACTTGACTGGAAGTTCTTTGCTCAAGCTTACTACCAGCACATATAAGAGAGAAGGCAGGAAAAAAAATTCCTCTCAGAATTGGAGAGCAAGTGGAACAACCCCGCATCTCCTAGACCAGCGGTTCTCATTCTCAACCCAGGGGTCAAAGGCAGATGTTTACATTATGATTCATAACTAGAGAAATTACAGATATGAAGTATAATCATTTTATGGTTGGGGGGTCACCACTCACGAGGAACTGTATTAAAGGGTCGCAGCATTAGAAAGTTGAGAACCGCTGCTCTAGATGCAAGCCTATGTGGCCCTAAACTCATCCAGAATGGATCGCCCACTGGGACCCCACAGTTTGGAGGACTGGGGTTTCGTGAGCTGTTGCGCATTTTGTTAAAATTCAGTGGATCCGGCTCCCTCCAACCGAAGTTACAAAGTACGATTTTCTCTGAAAATCAGAGAAAAACAACCCAGGAAGGCAACCGGGGGATTTATACCCACATCCCCACCCGCGGAACCAAGGGGAGACTGCAAGGAACCCTCTTCTTCAACAGCAGTGGGAGATCCCCAGGAATCCAGAGCAGGGGTGAGGGGCAGGATCGATGCTGCATTTCAACACGGTTTTGCAACATCTTTGGGGTGACATCAAATTCTGAAGCCATATTTAAGCTCCCACCTCAACTGGGGACTAACAAGGAGTTCGGGGAAATGCTTGGGTGTGGTAGGTTAGTTAAAGGAGAGGGGTTCCGCTGGCCCCTTTTACGGGATTGGTTTTGTTTGTTTGTTTGTTTTTTGTCAAATCAAGTGTATACAAAGGTGAAACTGGGCAGGGTGAGGTGGCGTACTTCTGTAATCCCTTCACCAGGAAGACAGAGACAGGGGGATCACTGCAAGTTCTAGGCTAGCGGGGGCTACAGAACAAGACCGTTAAAACAACAGGAAATAAAACAAGGAGAGGTGACGCTGAAATGAACTGAGTTTAAAACACAAACGCACGCGCACGCATGCATACACACACACACACACACACACACACACACACACTCCAGAGATTTCACTATCTTCTAGAGGAGATGTCAAAAATAGTATAGGCATCTTGAACCTGGCCGCTGTGCAGGACAAAACTGTACACATCCAGAGAACGAGCTGTGGGTTCGAGACCTCAGATCCGGCAGGTGCGAACCGAGGCGACCCAGAGTGACCTTTCTGGTGGTCTAGAACAGTTTTCCTGTACCAATCGGCCACCCGCTCTCTCCAGCCTGCAATCCCGCCGGCGTCAGACCCGGTAGCGCGCTAACCCGGTGGCGCAAGTGGGGACCCGCAGCTTCGGAGAGCCGCCGCCGCCGCCGCCGCATTGTTTCAGCCCCTCGGGTGGGGTTTTGCAGGGGAAGGGGAGGCGGTGTGTCCTCGGGAGCCGCCCCAGACTCTCCCAGGGGACCCGTACATCTGCGCGCCTTAGCGCCGGGGCTTTGTGGAGTGTAACTAGTTACCATGGGACCCGAAAGGAACGCGGAGAATGGCGCTGGGAGGGCTGGGGGCTGTAGAGGTTCTGGGGCCGTGCCCTCTGTCCCCTCTCAGACCCCGGTCCTGCAACGGGGACTGTCGGGATATGTAGTCCCAAAGGCGGCAGCCGCTCGAAGGATGCGGGACGCTGCTGGTCCCGCCTCCCCCTAACCTGCTAGTGTGAGGTGGCGAGCGCTGGGGCGGAGCCCTCGGATCCGTGATTGGCCCAGGCGGCTCCCAGCCCCCACCCTCCTCCCCACCCCCGCTCGCCACTCCGGACTCCAGCTCCAGGCGCGCAAGGCGGCCACCGAGCGAGCGCGCTAGCAGCCGCTCCAGCCCCGTGCATCCGCAGCTACCCCGCCGCGGCGAGACCCGGAGACCGACCGTCGGACGGACCCGCGTAGTCGCAGCATCCTGGAGGAGTGGGTGATGGCGAGAGGAGGGTGGTGGGCTTAACCTTCCCGGGCTGGAGCATCCATCCCGCTGTCTCTGTTTCTCCACGAAGCGCACAAAAGGGAGGGAACTGGGATGCGCCTAGGCTCCCCGGGCCGCGGAGAGAGATGTTTAGGCTTGGGGTAGCCATTCGGACTAAGGTGGGGCACTAGTCCGGTTCTTTGTACGCCCACCGAGCTCGGCTTGATGCCTTGCGTCGCCTTAAGGCGTTGAATGTGTGCTGGGGAGATTTGCAAATAACTAGGGTGAGGAGGCGGCCAAGTTGAAGGGATTCACGCCGAGCACCCAGTAGTCGCGCTGCCGTTGCTGGTCGACGTACGGTAAATGGCTAAAAGGGTGGGACTACGGGGGCGGGGAGCGTTTCATTAGTGGCCAACCTGCCCTTCGGGATGTCCCTGGATCGCCACTGTCCCCGGTTCCCACCCACCGCCCAGATACACCTCCTTGGTTCCTTTCGCCTCCGGGTTGAGATCTGCCCAACCTGGACCAAACCCGGACCGTCTGTATCTTCTGTCCCGCTCGCAGCAGAGCGGAGGCCTTCGAGGCACCTGCGGGAACCACAAAGGCCTCTTGCATCTGCCCAGCCCCTAGCGGCGCGGCCCTAGGTCCCTCCGCGGGAGCCCCGTCGCCAAGTCCGCCGCGCAGCATCGATCTTGGTGGGCGAGGGACGTCGACGCCCCGGGGCCTGGGGAGCTGGCTGGAGGCTAACTGCGAAGGGGACAAACGGGGGGGCGGAGGCCTGAATTGGAGCAAAAGAAAACCGGGGAGCTGGGTGGGGACAGGTGATCGAATCCGAGGGAGGAGGCGGCCGTGGCTCGGGAAGGGCTGAGAGAGGTGGGTGGGGGGTGGGTCTGAAGCTCCGCGCAGGTGGCGCGAGGCGAGGCTGGTCTGAAGAATGAAGAGGGGTGGAGAGATGAGGGAGGGTGGAGACCTCCCGGGTTTGAGGAGAGTAGACAGGCGTGGGGAGGGGGCTGAGGTTGAGCGGGGGAGGGGTCCCCCTGAAGGAGGGGCGAGTCTTTGCCTGAAGACCCTCAGCTCTAGGCCAGTCGCCGTGGGGCCTGAGATGCTGGCTGGGCGTGGTCCCTGGACTGGGAAGGGAGCTCCGGTGGCGGGTCCCCGACGGGGCTGGGCTGGCTCGGCTAGGAGCTTTGTTTCTAAGCTTGGAACAACCCATGGGGACTCGTTTAGTATTTTATGATAATCCGCAGCGCCCCCCGGCACACCCTGTTCGCGCTTAGCTGAAAGGCTTTGCCCAGTGGCAGATGCTGCCCGGGAGGCGGATGGGGGGGCGGCGTCTCCCGCCCCGGAGACCCCGAGAACAATAGCCTGTGTAGTGTCCTCCCGTCGTCGAAGCAAAGACCCCCGCCCCATAATTCAAGTGTGAGGTGTTCTGGTGCAGAAAACGCTCGCCGAGAAACCTCGGAGCACGTGCTGCCTCTGGGGTTTGCCTTAGGGCACCTGGTACCCCTGGGAATTCTGAATGGGGGTCGCATGTTTCCCCCCGGCTATGGAGCCCGGGGACAGTGTGCCCCCCCCACCGCGGCTTCTAGTGTCGCTTGGGCTGCTGCGTGTCTCTGTCCCCGCTGTACGAGATTGACGAGTTCAGATAGTGGCGCGGAGCAGTATGGCAGCGAGGCAAGTCCCAGAGGCCGAAGGTCTCCTTGGTGCAAAATAGGCTTTGTCTGCCCAGACCGCCTGAGCCCAAGTCTGGGGGCTGCTATGCTTCCTAAATGAGTCCTCAGGGCTGGTGAGGTTTGGGGTAAATTAGGTAAACCTCAGTGGTGGGGATTACACGACATGGGTGCGGCTCTTGAGTTTTAGAATTTGCATCTGGGGACTCAGTGCTTCCTTTTGCCCGTGACCACACCCAAGCGAGAGCTTCTTTTGCAGATTTCACCCATATTGTCTGTTGACCTAAGGGTGAGTTGGCTATCATATAGGTAGAGGCTCTTTGCCCATAGGAAGACTGATGAACACAGAGTAAACACGCTTCAGTCTGAGCGCCCTCTCAATTGCTGGCTGGCTAAGCACCTTGTGTGTCAGCTGTAGCGCCCTGACATGCGAACGAACAGTCAGAAACCTGAATTCTGTTTTGTTTGTTTTTTGTTGTTGTTGTTTTCATTGTTGTTATTTTAATTCTATGACTAAGTTAAAGGTGAATCTTAGGCACAAAGTTCAAATTATCACCGATTTGCAAAAGACAAAGAGCAAATCAGACATGTTTTTACTGCAGCGTGAAAGACTAAATGCCAAAACATCATATAACTGACATTATTTAGGTTTGCCGTCAGAATAACCCATGAGCCTTTTGGCCCTCCTAACCCTGCCTTGAAACCTGGGGGTTTTCATTCCTAGCCAGTCTGTGAATTAAAATGTGATATGTCAGTGGAGGTAGATGGTCATCACCTCCAGACCACCGCTCCAAGGACCTAACTACAGGAAATCAGTCAGAGCTCTATGGTTTTAGAAGCTGATGGTTTGAGGTGGTGCATCTCGGAATTTACAAGTCTCCAAAGGCTAGCTGGAATGCTGCTCACTGGATGTTTTTTTTACTATAGTTTTACTAAATCTTAACACACACACACACACATATCCACATGTATTCATATCTGAATACGTTTAATCCTGGAATATGAAAAACTAAAATTTTATCATTGCAAAATTAGAAATCTGACAAGACAAAGCTTTTCTTGTGAAAGAAACACTCTTCCCCCCTTTTCTCAAAAGGAAAAAAATGTGAGAGGAACCCTTTTATTATTGGTTTGCTCTTTTTGTAACAAACCTGTGAATATGGTGGTGTGTTTTGGTTGGGGTTTCTGAGGCAGTTCAGCTCAAACTGGCTTCAAACTTGCAGCATTTCTTCCTCAGACTCCCCAGCGACAAACCATAAGCATGAGTCACCCGTGTTGGCCAATCCTGTGGATTTCTCAAGAAGGTTTGGTCCTATGAGGGGGCTCTGTGAACATCCAGCACAGCCCTCAGGAAGAGAGTCCGTGGATGGGGGCGCTGGTGTGTCCAGCTGGCTTCTGCAAGGAGGAGGGAGAGAAAGCAGCCCTCATGCGCATGCGCACGCGTAAACACACACACACACACACACACACACACACACACACACACCACACCACACCACCTACTTCTGCTAAGGCTGCTCCTATGAAACCCCTAGGACATAGACCCCAGGAAGGACAGAGACAGGAGGTCTGTCCCGAAAAGGACTTCCCAGGTGCCATTCTTAACTCTCATTTCCATGAAACCAGGAACTTCAGTCAGGTACACAATTTTGTAGTTGGTCCAGGGACCCCAGGAGTTTTCAGCATGGCCTCTAGGCGACTGTTGCTTGATCTCCGTGAGCTGCACCTGTCTATCCCTGGTAACAGTTCACACAGCAAGGCGGAGTTACACACCTGCATCTGTGATGTCTCTGGTCTCTCCATCTCCACCCTCCTCCTGCCTCCACTTGGCTCGTCTGAGAAGGATTCAGATGCTAGGTGCCTTAGGCAAGTCTCCAAGGCAAAGGCAAACTATGCTCACTGATATCTTTCTTTTCAAGTAGAACTTACAAAAGTAATAGGGGGTGGCATGTTGGAATTTTAAGAGTAGAGTATCTGAGACCCAGTCTGTCTTTTTCTTTTTCTTTCTTTCTTTCTTTCTTTTTTTTTTTTTCGAGACAGGGTTTCTCTGTATTGTTTTGGAGCCTGTCCTGGAACTAGCTCTTGTAGACCAGGCTGGCCGCGAACTCACGAAGATCCGCCTGCCTCTGCCTCCCGAGTGCTGGGATTAAAGGCGTGCGCCACCAACGCCTGGCTCCAGTCTGTCTTTTTCATATAAAAGTAATTTCCAAGGTTCTGATAGGATCTGTATCTCCTCTTCCTTTTCAGAAATGAATGAGTTCATGGGGGCCTATAACCGTCACACAGAACGCTCTGTCAATGTGAAGCGCTGTAGGAAGAAATTGGTACCGTTTGATAGCAAATAACCACAAGTGCGTTTCATTACCTTTTCTTAAAGAAATCAGATGTTTGATTTATTGCACTGCTCGTGGGTAAATAAGAACTCATTTAAGATTGCTTCAAAAATTTTATAGGAAGACAAAAGGCTGAAATGCTAAGGTGTGAATTTTATGAACTTTGCTATGTATGTATGAAAGTTGCTGTCAATTTAGCAGAATAAATTCAGGAAGGTATGGTTATTATTTGTTCCATTTCAGTCTTTGGCACTTGTTTTATTTAAAATAAATTGGCTAACCCTTAGCGTCCCTTGTGCCCATGAAGGATGGTTGTCAATCACTGGTTCCCTTATTCCTTCCACACAGGCCTGTACTTATAATCCAGGCTCAGAGATAGTGTCATTGTGGGAAAGCAGACTCTTAGCCACCGCTGCTATTTCCTGTCTGTCTAGCCTTAGGTGAGTTGTCTTTCAGATACAGTAAATGTAGTTGTGTACCAGAGGATGAGATGACGTAATAGGTGTATGGACCTGAGAGCAGAGTCTGATACCTAACAAGTGGCCCATAAAGATGATGTCACCACCACCACCATCACACTCTCCCCCATAACCCGTGCCCACGACATAACATTCGGAGTCCTCATTTGGTCTTTTATTCCCCAGACAGGCTTCTGCCTAGTGATTTCACTAGTGGGAATGCAGAGGTCAGGGAGGACTCCTGAAGCCCCGCCCTTGCAAATGCTGGGAATAGCGTGACTTTAACACACAGCTGTTTTGAGCAGTTGAGAACATGGAGAGTTTAAGAAGGCTCCAGGGGTGCACTGACCCCAGGTTTGATGAATCACCCCATGTAAGGGGTCAGCCTTCTGTCATGCCCTCCCAAACCATCCAAAGGAGCAATCAAGCCCCTGAAGGGTGATGTCCCCAGGCTGTTTTGTCCTGGGAGGTGGGAAGAGTGACCATGCTTAGTTAATGGTAAAATGTTGGGAATAGCTCTAGTTTTCCAGCTAAGCAATATCTATCC